GCCACAGGGATTTGCCACGTTGTACCTTTGAGGGTACATTTATATTGTTTGTACTCGCAATTCCTTACATCTCCTTATGTTTAGTTCTTGTGCCAAACATAATGCTTTCCTTTGGCACATAGACATTATGTAAATGTATAGACAAAACATTATGCAAAGGCTCGTTGTGACACGTTCTCTAAACTCACCTGATAAAGGTCCTATGGCCCTGAAGTTGATGCATTGTGGCTATAATAAAGTCCCTCAAGCTGCTGATCTCTCTGCTGTTGTTTTGTCATTAGACATTACACTTTAACAGTGCTGTTACAGAAAAACACAAAAACAAAAGTCGAACTTCCCATCTCTGGCTTTGGGAGTGATGAAAATAACTTACCAACATCTCTGACAATCCAGCACCCCAGCTGTCCTGAGCTCACGATTCTCTTTTTGTTTTGTTTTTTTCGCACTCTCTTTGAATTTTGTGAAATAAGTTGTGTTTTGGGGCCTGGAGAAAGAGGCGCAGTAATTAGCGTGTTTGGAATGCTGGCTGTCAAAGCCGGTCTGCAGATAAGCTGCGACTTTTCTCACCGTTCTGAGAGAAGACAGCTGCTCAACCATCTGACCACGATGCCAGGCCTTTTGCTAATGCAGGGGTTCACGCACTGGTCATGAAAAAGTCATTAAAGCAGGAGTTCACATAGCTCTGTTCCACCCACAGACACTAACCCTAAATTCTGCTCCTCTTACTGATCTACCAACCTCTTTAATGTTTTTGATGTTAATGAATGTTGTTGAAAGCGATAGAAGCAGCTGACAGATTTGGGTGATTAGAGAAGGTTAGCTGAGTCCAGATAGCATGATTTTATTTAAAAACTCCAAACTTGTATTTCCAGCCTTGTATATTTTCGTTCCAACAAAGCAGGATCTCAAATGATCAGTTGTTTAAAGACTGGGACCAACTGATTAAACAGTTAGAATCCATTGTGCTCCATTGAAAACCTGCAGCCACAACAGCTCTTTGTGGATAAGATTGGACACTCCTGACCTACCTTGTATTTCCACTAACTGGCCACTTTATTAGAAACACCTACCTTGTGCTTCCACTTACTGGCCACTTTATTTGTTAGCCACATTAATCATTGATCAGGTTCTGATTACAGGGCCAGTGTTGACCACATATTACATTGGTGGTCAACCATTCCCAACGCAGCAGTGTCACCGACATGGTAGTGTGTCAGGCTTAGTCACCATTAACACTGTCAGTGCGAGTGTGTGAGACAGACTTTGTGTGAGTGTTCCTGGTTTTGCTGCTAGTTTGATAGTGGTCTATCACCGTTGTGGCTTTGTGTTCAGACTACAAAGGGCTAGGTGATGATTAGCATAAACTGTACACTAGCAGTGTGCACCTACCCAACATGGTGCTAATAAAATGGCCACTGAGTAGATAATTTCATCATGTGCACTACGGTTTGATAAACTGTATTTTCACATCTCTGATCTGACCACTGACAGACATGTTGGAAGCAAGCAGTGTTGAGACAGAGAAGCTGACTTCTAATTAAATCTGCACTCCTGTTTGTTTTTCAGAGCAAGTGGCAAAGTAACAGACAGCTCTATTTTTAGCCTGGAGTGAAATGTATTTTCCCATCACAGTTTATGTTCTTAATGAGAAAGAGTTGTCTCCCTAAGAAGCAGTCACTATTAGAGAGAATGTGCTGAATGTATTATCATATTTGGAGAAAATATCAGTATTGAAGCACGGTTGTCTTACATTGTCCTTTTATAACCCCAGTTTAGCACTTGTGCATTTTTACCGGGACTAACATACTAAATATACATTCATTGCTAGCAATGTTTGAGTCTCTTACGCCTGAAACAGTATATATTTTTTTTACTGTAGATATTTGTTTAAAGAAATCATTTAGCAAAAAATCTAATTTACACAATTTCCCCTTATCCTAAATATCAGTAACCCAAGACATGTTTGATGTGTCATGTTTACTACTTTAGTTTTTCTCTAGATCTATACCTTAATGCTAACAACTATTGGATGCTCATACACAGCCTATTAGCACTGTGCAAAAAGCATGCTGGAATGATTACACCAGAGATTGATTACTGACCGGGCCAATGGGGCCATTGCCCTGGGGCCTCTGACTGCCGGGGGCCTCACAAGGCTTAACGTGGCTCAAATACTTTGAAATAATGACTTATTGTCTCAAAATATTGATTTAGTATCTCAGAGAAATTACTTATTTTGTCAAAATATTGACTAAATATCTCAAACAATGACTAGCTTTCTTGAAATACTGATTTAATATCTGGAAATAATTCTTTATTTTCTCAAGATTTGGAGATACTATGTTCAAATATGTTTTTAAATTTTTAAGATGCAAGTAATTATTTCAGGATAGCAAGTCATTATTACGAGATACTAAATAGTGTTGCACAGATAAATGCACTTAAACACAGTATTGGTATTGGCGATTTGGGGACCAATACCTGTGACGGATTCCGGTACCTATGACTGACACCAGCAAAGCAATTTGTGATGCACACATATGGTGATGCGTGCATGCGTACCAGTAGAGGGAGCTTAACAACACATTAGCACTGTGGGTTGACAAGTAGCAGTAAAAATTTTCATGGCAAAATATGTTACGCCTGTATTTTGTGGGTAAAACACACTAACGGGAGCCACCTGAATGACTGAGCCAAGGTTCTTTCAGTGGTCACTCATCTGCCACTGTGTAGTCATTTACAGTCTGAGTTAATGTTAGTCCAGGTTCTTATTGAGGGAGTGAAAGTTAGAGAGAGACAGTATGGGAGGAATCACTGGACTATCTTGGCGTTATGATGGTCTTTAACCTTGACTTAGCCTTTAGCATAGCAGCCTGTCCAAAAGCCCCACCTGCAGTGAGCCTTTATCAGTCAGCTGTATCACGCAGCAGCGGGGTCTCATGGCCCTATGCATCAACCAAGCTGTAAAAAACGCTCTTTGCTGTGGGAACGGGACACATGCATGAGACATATTACTTGAGAAATTGTGAAACTTGATGAAAAAAAAAAAACATTTAAAAGCTGAAAATACTTAAGGATCGGGTATTGGTGTCAGATAGGAAAAAGTGATATCGGTGCATCGCTAATACTAAGTCATGCGACACAGGAAGTCAGTATTTTGAGTAAATGGCATCATTTTAAAATCATCTTATCTGTTGTGTATAAAAATAGACAAAAGTGCATCCAAAATTCAAAATTCTTTAGTTACTTTTGTTCATATCATGAAGTGTCAGTAACCACGTAAGCTTCTGTTTCTCATCTGCATTAGCCTCATAGCTCCAGTGCAAAACTTCAGAAGCAAACCTAAGACACCAAATATGTCTGAGATGATCAAACACATTTGCTGAACTATTCCTTTAATAAACAGGGTTTAGTGCTGCTTACACAGTGCGTTTCTGATGCTCTTCACTCTGTTTCATCAGCACTGCGTTGCCAGGATGGAGTAACACAGAGCTGTGAAGTAATGAGTCATTCTCACTCTCTCTATCACTCTGACATTGATGTGGGGCTTCAGTCGTGGATCTGTGTGTGGTTGGAGTTTAATTAAAATGATAACAACCTGCCTTGAGTCAACAGCTCTCATAGAGTCATCACTCAGACAGCTGGATTTCATCCCTAAACTCTCAAGTTCAGCGCTTGTAAAAGCAGGGCCTGTCTAATGCTTCTCTCTAATGCTTCATCACCATCAGCCGGACCAGTGAATTCTGAACTGTTTATGTTGTGTTGCCATGATTGCACCATTCATGTTTACTCCCCAAAAGTTGGACTCCTTTTTGTAAAAATGTCTGGTAGTTACATGCAGTAGAGCAGTAATTAGAAGCCTAGTCCTAAAGTACCCTTGGCCCTGCATCTTTTGGCATTTTCTCTGTTCCCTGATCTGTTGCACCTGACCAATCAGCTCAGTAACAAGCCTTACATAAGTTGAGATTCCCAGCAAGCACCTGGAAATGGAAACACAAATGGAAATGAAAAAAACAATTAAGTATCCAAATGTTTGAAATTTACCAAGATTATGATCTATTTTAACCCAATGTGTAAACTAAGATAGTATTAAGCTAAATCTATACAAAATCATCATTTTTTATAGGGTACCTTCTACCGAAAGTGTCACAAACTCTAACCCCTAAATTTACACTTGTGAAAATAATACTTAACATTTTTCAGTGTTTCTTTTTAATCTATCTTTTTTTATTTCTTTTAAAGTGAAGTTGAAAGATTATTATGAGTTACATTTTTAAGTAAAAATGTTTTCTTGTCATTACTGAAAAGACCATAGGCAGAGCCTTATTTTAGCCCCATCCCTGCATTTTAGTGCATGAAGTGAGACTATATATCTGTCCCTCATGGCCACATGGTGAGCAGTTCGATGCAGTTGTTTTAATTATTGTCATTGTTAATTTTTGTTATTATTTTAATAGGCCATTGCTATGTCCAAAAATCAGAAAGTCAGTGTGGAACATTAAGAATTGTTACTATGGAATCGCATTTTCTGCAATTAAGTAAAGGTTTTTGTGTTGTAATGAAAAATATTATTAGCCACTACAAAAAATCTTTTATAGCCAGCACAATAAAAATAGCGTATAAACACATCTGACCTCCAGATCCACGTTATTAAAAAAAAAAAGCATAGTTCAACTGAGAGACCTCGAACTTGGATATTGTATTTTTTCTTTACTTTGAAGAATGGTGAAGGCCTAGTCATGCTAGCTTTTTGTCAAATTTTGCTAGTGTAATTCTATTCTTTTTAATATACAGTTGTGAACAGTGCAGTGAACAGTTTCGCTTTGCACACTTTCAGAACAAACACATTTTGCGATTCGTTACGTTGATGAACTTGATGCACATTCCTCTCGTCGACCTATAGCACAACTACTCGGACTTCTGAATGGGCAGAGCTTCATATAACAGCACTGTCTTGGTCAGTCTAGCCTGATGCTAGCTCCGTGTTTCTCTCTGTGCAGGGGTGCTGTGGAACCTGTCCTCGTGTGACGCTTTGAAGATGCCCATCATTCAGGATGCTCTGGCCGTTCTGACCAACACGGTCATCATCCCTCTGTCTGCCTGGGATGTCTCTCCTCACCAGGAAGATCGCAAGCTGCAGATGCACACATCCCAGGTCCTCCGTAATGCCACTGGTTGCCTGAGGTAAGTGTGCTTATGTGAAGTGTTTTTTTGTTTGTTTTTTGGATTTTTTCTGTTGGATAATTAGAAAATGTTTTATCCTTTCTTTTGTGTGAGATTAGATGAGACTTTACGTTCATTCATTTTACATTCATACTTTAAACACTCACTTTTAATTCACTATTCATTTTTTAATTCATAGCAGTATTAATATCATTCATTTTTATAATTTATTCATGTATTTATATCCAATACTACAGCTCAGTCATTGTGGATAGTAGTACCTCCTTATGACCTATAGAGGCAGTAGCAACGAAAGGCCTGTACATCTTTAGCTTGATATTTGCTACACATTTGCCAGGATGGAGATACAAGTGTTATCCCTCGTAAGCAAATGCGATACTAAGATGCATTTTATGACAATTTAACATTTAGTACTGTTCAAAAGTCAAACACCACCCTTTATTTATTTCCAGTCAAAATAGCTATTTTTCAGAAGATATTACTAAGGAGATGAGATATAAGATAATCCACTTGCATGAAGAGGAAAGACAAGGGAGAATTAATGAAAAAGGTTTCCAAAGCGAGAGAGAGAGAAATAGAGAAAATGAGGCTCCTAACAACTGTGCAAGACCTGGTAGACCACCAAAACTGTCCCCTTCAGATAAACAGTACTTAAAGCTTTCATCTTTGAGAGAGAGGAGAAAATCAAGCTCCTCTCTTGTTTCAGACCTGAAAAATCCACAAGTGTTTGTGTCCATCCTTTCATTGCGAGAAGACAACTCAGCGCTATGGGTCTGAAAAGATGGGTAGCTGTTAAGAAGACATTACTGAGTGAAAAAGAGGAAAATTCCAAACCAAACAAAGAAGCTGATGGTGTCCTCAGAACAGTTCAGACCTCAACATCATCGAATTTGGGATTACTTGGAATGTGAGAAGTAGAAAAAAGTGCAACCAACTTCTAAGGCTGAACTTTGGAGGTGTGGAAAAATACCTCTTTGAAAAAACTGAAAGCAAGTCTTCTGAAAAGAATGGAGGCTGTAATAAAGGTAGAGATTGGACACTCTTAATATCTTGATATTGTATTTAGTCGTTTAGAGTTCTGTGTACCTATTTGCCATTGTTACTAAATAAATGAAGGGTGGTCTGTGAATTTTGCACAGTACTCTGTATCTCACAGTATCATGTATCATGAACTACTTGGCAGTACCCTGCCCTGACATGTCTGTATCATTATCTTTGTGCTAGAACATGTTTTTATGCTTTTGATTTGGTGTGGACATCGCAACACATCATGACTTGATTCAAGATCAGTCCCTGTTGGACATGCATAATCTGGCACCTAAAATTTGTCATCTTTTTATAACATTGTAAACGCATACAATGAATGTCAATTTCACCCCCTCAGCATGATCAGACTCTGTTTTACTGAACACCTGTCATTTTATGATGAAAAACACTAATACCAAGTCAAAGCCATGCAGTTATGTGCTTTCCCTGTCTTTTCTAAAGCAGCCCACTTCTGCAGAGACAGAATGGCTGCATTTTATCTCTGGAGCGCAGTCTGGCAGAGCAGCATGAGAAAGATCAGTCCTTTGATAAAGGTGAAAAAGACAAAATGAGGGGCCAATTTACCTGGCTGGGTTTGGCTACTCTCCGCTGCTGCACCTGTTCTAAAATCAGCAGCTGGGGTCCCCACTGTTTTCAGCCCAGAGAATGTGAGATAGTTGATCTTTTCTGCGTGTTTGCCTTCCTACAATGAAGTAAAGAAAAGATAGATGATAGATGCTGGAGGACAAATGATAGATGTTGGAAGCCTATTTCGTAACACAGGAGGAGAACAACAGGCGTATTTATAAACATTAGCACCTAAACAGTGCTCACGCACAACCAGCATCAGTGTTAGGGTAGTTACTCAAAAACAGCAGTCCATTACAAATTACCAGTTACTTTTGTCAGTCTGTAATGAGATTACTTATTGCAAGTCCTGGAAAAAAGTAATCTCACTACTCAGTATTTTACTTCTAAGGTACAATTTGGAAAATAAAAGGGAAAATCCATTAGTCATTTTCAGTTCAGCTAGTTATGCTTTATGAAAGTTAGGAATGGCTAAAGCAATTTGAAAACCTAGGAAAGTAGCTACTGGAAAATTCACAAACCGTTGCCTTGACATCTTTTAGAATAAATTGTAACATTTACAGAGCTATTTCTGAATGAAAATCAAGTCGAGTGAGGTTAGAGCTCTCTCTTTTACAGCAAGATGGTTGTTTATCAATCAGTTTTCATGTTACCATGATTAGATGCTTCTGATATATTGCTTACAGAGTTCATGATGCTTCCTATGCCTGCTCTTCACTGCTCACAGTTGAAGCAACACAGTCAGCTGGCACAGTACACAAATGTATTAAATGCATTGTGCATAATTAGTATAGCTAGAAACATATGAGTAGCGCAGGTAAACATTTTATTAAGTCGGTAATGGAAGTGTGATTCTATTAATTAGGTTGGCTTGACAAAGCTAACATACTGTTTTTCTTTATCTTTTTTGTTTTATTATTATGCTACCCTAGCCCAATTATTATTATTATTATTATTATTATTATTACCTTCTGCCTTATTCTACCTTGGAAGCCACTTGGAATACCCTAGCAACACCTTAGAAACCACCTGGGATAACATGGCAATCTCCTAGCAACACTTTAGCAATCACCTGGGATGACATAGCAATGGCCTAGCAGCACCTTAGCCACCATCTGGGATCACAATGGCCTGACAGTACTTTAGCAACCACCTGGGATACCATAGCAGCAACCTTGCAACACCCTAGCAACCACCTGAGATATTAAATTGAATTTTATAGCTTCTAATTTTAGAAGCTACACATAGTGGCTTGTGTTATACTCAGCTATGCCACTAATTACTATGTCTGCAACTAATTTTGAACTGAACTACAGTTCAAACAGGTAGCCTGCCCCAAGGCACCACCCCACACATTGCTCCCCTACTTTCACTTGTAATCAGGCGCTTGTGATTTGTACAGTACAACAGTGCGTAGCAGTGTTCATAAGGTACATTTCTAAAATATTATGATTTATGCATGAGCCCTTTTCCTGCCCCTGGATGAAAAATAACACAAAGAATGTGATGATTCTCTAGGGCTCGATATTACTCCAACTTAAGACTTTATTCTGTCCTGTATCCATAGCAACTGATACTAAACTGGGTTCCGCGCAGCTTCTCGCACACCTTTGTTTGGCCTTATAACTTCTTCTGAGGTTTGCCAAAGAAATGATCCGTCTTTTGCCACCTGTAATTAGGGGATTTTACAAATTTGTTTTAAATTTGCCTGTGTAAATTATACTTTCTCTTCTTCCTTTTTGAACCCTTTGGCAAATTCCCATTCAGAAGAACGCCTTTGCCAGGAGACGCACGCACACGTGCACACTTCCTAGCTTTCATTTTCTCGAAACGCAAAGCTTCCCCTCAGTTCCTCCTGTAAATTACCCTTTAGAGTAAATGACACATTGTCTTGTATCCAAACAAAGGCTTCTCGGAAGGTGCACTGCGTGCAGGTAATTACCGCCTTCTTTGTACAGCTTCTTGTGATGTCAGCTGCAGAACAACCGCGACTGAAAGGGGCCTCTAATTCTAATTCGATGATTGAGGACTGCTCAGTGTATGTTAATTAAAAAACAAAAAGCATTCGAAAACATGACAACAAAATAGGATGCAGCCCTCAGATAAATCTGCTGTGGCTCTTTAATGCCTCATATGCTTGCAAATGCACCATAACTGGTAGTTTTAGGAGAGCACATAATTAATGAATTATAATTAATGAGTTATGAATTTTTTAAGAAGCTTGAACAGTTTTTTTTCTCTTTTCCCTGCCTGTATTGGGGTGCAGTCTGGAAATGTCGAAAACTCCAAGCTTGGTACAGCTTTTGCGCTTTAGCTGTGCAAAAAGCTTTTGAATCCCTGTGGTGTCCACCTGTATTGACTACTAGTCTGTTCACTGATGTATCTATAGGATAATAAATACAACCAAGCTAGCATTACTGTAATAAATAAATAAGCCGTCATAAAGGAAACAAAACCATAACAAAACAGTGATCCTATCTTTACTCAACTCAAAATGGATGCCAGAGACAAGTTTTTACCTTTTCAGCTAGAAAAAAACAAAGCAAAACTGAGGTATCTAAATAGTTAGGTAGCTAACTTGCTAACGTTTAGCTTGTTGTCCTCCATTGGAGTAATCCATTCTCTTCATTGTAATAATGATTTAAAGACAGTTACTGCAGTTATGTGACTGCAACAATGTATTCGGTTACCTAGCAGTAATGTTAGCCGTCTGCCCTCCTCCTGCGTTCACCAGCTAACAAAAAAAAAAACATTTTAAATCAGCCTGCGTCCAAAACTCCACCTCAAACAGTTGTTTTCCTAAAGTTCCTCCCACCTTCCATATACATCATCAGGAGGGGGTTTTCCTAGTGGTTAAACTTGAAAGTCTCGCTCCAGAGACTACTGTGGCCCCACTGTAGGATTCGAGAGAGCAGGTTAAAATGACCATGGTCACATTTTTCATGCTGGCTGGACTTCCACTTTAATACTTTGATGCAGTTTGAAGCATGCATGTGATGATTTAGCATGCAGTTTGTATGATGCTAATTATCGGAGTGACAGTTATAGACACTACATTTCCCAAAATGCCCTTTTCTTTCTAATCACCCCCTGATCCACAGAGTGTTCAGTGCACTGGCACGCTGCTCATCAGGATGAATGTTCTTGAATGTTCCTGTACTGACTTGTGAGTCATGTGTGCATCCATATGAATAAACCTCATACGCCCACACCCACCTCTACACCCATCTGTGTACTCATAAATCGGCTCAGTTGTTCAGTAATAACTTATATGGGTAGATTTAAATATTGTGAAGAGCAGAAGGCGTTTTAGATGTTCTATTCAATGTTATGTTTTGGGGACCGTAAGACCTTTACTAACGATAAATGATGATAAACTGTGAATA